GAAACCGAATTGCTCTGGGGGGAGAAGTTGCAGTTCTTCTGCCTGCTTCTCTAGTCGAACGGCGATAGCTTTTTCGACTACTTTGCCCATCGAGGAAACCAGGCTGATGGGCCGGTAGTTCTGGGGCAACTTCCGGTCCTTGCCTGGCTTGGTGAGCATTATAACCTGGGCTTCCCGCCACCGCCGTGGGAAGTGGTTAAGTCTCAGGGTGGCATTGGCGATGTTGGTGAGCGCAGCAATGCCTTTGGTGGGAAGGTTCTTCAGCATCCTGTTGTTGATGCCGTCCCTTCCCGGCGCCTTTCTGACCTTCAACCTGCGGATGATCAGACGGATTTCCTCTGGACTCGAGGGGTGATCCGTCTCCTGGCCAGATGGTCGACTCCTCATGTTTTCAGCTGCGACTTCCACGGCCTCCTCGTGGTTGTCATCCTCGTCTTCATGGTAATTGAGTCTGCATTCGGATTCTAGCGAATCGGCGAATGCTTCGGCTTTTTCTTCACTGGAGTAGGCCAAGCCGCGTTGGCCGTGAAGAGTGGGGATCGTGGTGCGCTGACGACGAAATTTTCGCTACATAGACCAGGCCGTACCATCCTGGGTCTCTAGTTCTGCACAGGCTGCATTCCATCTGTTGTTTTGGAGTTCCGCGAGTGCGTTCTTCAGAGCTAACGATGCTCTGTTTCGCGCAACTCTCGACTCCTCTGTCAACAGCTGGAGATGTTCTCGCTTGAGTCTTCTGTTCTCCCTGATCAGGTGCCTAATATGGTGCGGTGCTGGACCATTTAGGTGTCTAGGAACTGCCGTAGTCTCGGAGCGGGTGCTGTCCTCGTGCGCTCGCATGACAGCATTCTCCAGCTCCTCTACTGCGTTGTCCAGTTCCTCCGCTGATCGGATGGCTGGAATTTGAGTGATGTTCCTTTGGACGTTGGATTTGTACAGGTTCCAGTTCGTCCGTTTGGTGCTCAAGCTATCTCGAGTTCTAGACCCTGTGCCAAGTGTTAGTAGAATCGGATTGTGGTCCGACGATCCTTCCACCAGGGTCTCTATCTCGAACTCCTCTCTGATGTTGCGGAGGATGGCTATGTCCAGTACCGCAGGTCGCCCAAGGCCGAATGGAATGTAGGTTGGTTGCTCCGGACCGACGATGACCCCCGCCAGGGCATCGACGTGTTCCTGGAGCTGCCTTGCATTCCTGTCTTCGACGTTGTTGTTCCATGCCGGAGACTTGCAGTTTAGATCTCCGATGACTATGCGTGCTCCTGGGCCTCTCAGGAGGTCAGCGATGTCATCTTCGTCTAGGGCCTCCCCTGGTGGCACATATAGGGAGGTGATTCTGTAGGGACGGTGGTTGTGATGGACCTGGACCGTGATTCCGTCCCCATTTATGTCTGCGGCATCGTCGAGGACATGACTCGTCAAGGTACGTTTGACGAGTAATGCGACTCCTCCACCTCTGCCCCTTCTGTCGTAGCGGTACGTCTCGTACCGCGGGAACGTCAGACTATGGGCAGCATCCAACTTCGTTTCTTGGATGGCCATCACCTCTGGTTGGTACTGGTCTAGTATCTCCTGGATTTCTGGTTTCCGTGCCCTGAATCCGTTGATGTTCCAGGAGATAATGCGTAGAGATTCTACGTTTTGACCTGTAGACATTTCGGGTCTAGTGCTTGTCTTGCATCTTGGCCTCGAGTGCATCCAGGCGGGTTATGATGGCTTGCATCATTGCTAGCAGTCTGTCATCGCCGTGTTGCTTCTGCGCAGTAGTTCCAGTAGCAGTGGCGGCTGCTGGGGCAGAAGTGGACATAGGCTTCTTCGCTTTTTGAGCGTAAGAAGTCCTATTTGTGGTGGGGACTGCTTTGGGGGCAGAAGCAGCTTTCTTCGGCGCCTTACTACATCCCTTGTAGTTGGCGGGGTGGCCTTCTCCACAGAGGCAACACTTGGCGTTTCGTTGCCCTGTTGGCGGCGCTGGCAGACTGCAGCTGGTGCTGTTGTGGTCCTCTCCATACTTAACGCACCGTTCAGCGAGACGGCAGTTCCGCTGTGTGTGCCCGTACCGCTGGCAGCGGTAACATTGGCTGGGCTCGGAAGACTTTTTCTTCCTCTCGAAGCTGACCGTGAGCATGGCCAGCCTCTGGATCTCTGCAAGCTTTTCCGGCATCTTCGTCTTGACGAGGAAGAGCGGAAGTGGCTTCTTAGTGGTCCTTGAGGTCATCTGCTGAACCTCGGCGTCTGCGATGCCTTGGCTCACCAGATCCTCTTTGATGTCATTGACTGACATCTCTCTGGGTAGCCCACGAATGACCCTCTGGTCCATCCTGTCCTCCTTCAGTTGATAGGTGAAGAAGGGCCGCTTGATGGATTCCAGCAGTGCGACTAGCTGACGGTAGTCAGCTGGTGTATTTGTGAATACCTTCACACTGGTACCCGCCGTCCTCGCTTTGGAGAATTGAATCCCCTTGCTGTTCATCATCCTGCTTAAGGATGACCAATCAGCGGTGCCCTCGATGTTGATTGGCGGAACTCCTGTTCCTGCCATGGGGGCCTCGGTGGTCCTGGTTGCTCTAGGACCTCTCTTCTTGGTGGCAGCTGGCATCTTTGGCTGCCTGGGTTCTTCTTCTTCGGAGGAGGAGGAAACTCGCACCCGCTTCCTCCGCCTGGTGGCGACACTGAAATCGTTGTCGTCCGTCCTCTTCTCGGCTTCTTCTTCCATTCCTTCGTTTCGTTGAGTGCTCTCTTCTTGGGCGTCCATCTCGTCCGACGTAGCTTGGTGGTCCTCTTCCTAATCTTCTCCTGTCTTCTTCGCGGCCTTCTTCTTGGCCTTGATCCTCGATCTCCTGTCTGGCCTACAAGAAGGCTTCTTGCAGATTTCGCATCTGCTCTTCCAGCATGGCGAAAGCATCCTTCTTTTCTTTCAGCTGGTTAACCAGCTTCTCAATTTTTGCCATCGTAGATGGCAAACAACCAATCTATCGCAATGAAAATTGCAATAAGATTGCTCAATATGTCCGGGTGGGTCGCAGTCGTGCAAGTATACACTCGCAACGGCTGCTAGCTCGGAACTGTGATCGACCATCTGTCCATCACCTTCATCCTTTTTACACTCGCGTCGGCGTGGGACTATAGTGGTGGAGGGGGCCGCTTATGCCGACTCCTCGGACTTTTTCTCAGCCCCACGTCGGCTCGAGTAGACCCATAACCCATCCTTGTCATTTCCATACCTTCTCTCCTTGCCCCCCATTTCGCCCTGTAATCCCAAGGTGTTGGCCGTGCTGAGGGGATGGATGGCACTACATAAGTGTGTCCCTAACGGCCCCGTGTCTTCCACGTTAAAGAGGCGTGTTCCCCTACGACACAGGGGAATAATGGTCATGTTAAGCAACGCACAAGGAGTGGTACCCCAGGCAGGTAGAGTTCAGGAGAGCTCAGAAAGCCCCACGAATGCTGGGGGGGCAACTTAACATGTGACGCGGTAAGAGCAGGTGATTCTGCCCCTTGGAGAGAAACCGCAAGGAGAGAGGATCCATTTAACCGGGAAAAGGCAGGACATGTCCCTCGGTTCCTAGTAATGGAAAGGTTGGATGGGGAAAACTTCAGTAAAGTGAGCCCCTTCCTCATTGCAAAGCAATTGCAAGGAGTCGTAGGAAATTTAAAAAATATAAAGAAATCGAAAGAAGGATTGATTTTAGAAGCGGCAACCGACCCACAGGCGGAGAGACTGATGAAAATGGAACGACTTGGACCACATATTGTTAGAGTTAAACCACACAGAACGTTAAACTTTTGCAAAGGTGTGATCACATGTTCAGATTTATTAAACTGCTCCATCCAAGAAATCTTAACGGAACTTGAAAATGAAGGAGTCGTCAAGGTGAAACGAATATATAAAAGGAAAGACGACAAATTTATTGAGACGTCAAGCCTAATATTAACATTCAACAGATCCCAGGTACCACGGAAAATTAAAGCAGCCTTTTACGCACTAGAAGGCCGCCCATATGTGCCGAACCCCATGCAGTGTTTTAAGAGCCAGCGATATGGGCACTTATCGACATCATGTCCGAATGATGAATTTTGTATTTGCGGTATAGCTATTCACACTGGACCATGCCCAGAGCCCAAGATATGTGTTAATTGCGGCTCAGAAGACTCATCCCAGTATAGAAATTGCGCTAAATTCAAGGAGGAAATGCTAATCCAATGAACAAAAACTCTAGAATCTTTGAGTTACGCGGATGCCAAGCGAAAAGTGATGAATCAGACGCCAAGGGTTTCATATGCACAAGTAGCTGCTAGACAAGCTGAATCCACAAAAACTGTTATGGATGAGATAGTTCGCTTGGACATGTTAGTATAATTGAGTCATGGCAGATGTATCAAATTGGACTCACTGCCAAAGTTGTTATTTTTTACAGCTAAATGGTTTACGCGTTTATTATGTGGAACGACTATAAGCCGGGCAATAACCTTATTAACCGACGTAAACATCCTTCTAAGCGCTCTTTCACATGGTCAGGATATTTATCCGTCCGTATGATCGCCCGGCCGGGCAGCACCCTGGAGCTCTCTTCACACGGGTGGACGGGTGTGTGCGAAAATCCGGACCACTTTTTGCTAGGTACTTCAGTTTGCCGCTGATTATGATGGACAGTAGACGCAAAACGATTTTGTTCGCTTTATTAAAACATCGGCGAAAAAAACAACGTAATAGGCAAATTTGGAAGGAGCATTCTTTGTGCTTTTTCAACAACTGAAAGAAGACGAAACTAAGTTTTTAAATTATTTTCGTATGAGCGTTTCTTCTTTTGATGAGTTGCTGCAACGTGTGCAGACACAGCTACAAAGACAAGATACAAATATGAGGAATTGCATCCAACCTGAACAAATGTTGGCTGTTACATTAAGGTATGTTTATTTAAAATAAATAAAAACAAAATATACATTTTAGGTTAATATTCTATTTTTTTAATGCAAAAATATATTTATTATTATAATACTTCAAAAGATCAAAAGTCAATATCTGAATTATGTGAGAAAGGGGATGTCAAATTGCTATAATTACTACTAGTTTGTGTGTCATTAGAACCAGGAGATATGATGTTTGTAGATATGGTACTCGATGGAATCGTTTCATGATGTTGACTAGAGACCCTGCCTAGCAGTGGAGTGTATGAAACGTCAGAAGAGGGATATTGCTGAGAGTTCTGTAATGGAGAGCTGCAGGGGTACTGGTGTGTGTGTTGTTGAGAACATGGAGGAGCATAAATCTGCAGCTGTTGAGGTTGGGTTGTTGGAATAGAGACAGTGTTTTGAATGTTTTTAATCACCTGCAGAACTCCCATCTAAAAATCTACAACCTGGTTGTCTGTGAACTTTTGAACAGATGGAAGAATGCCCTTAAAAAATTGCATATGACGGTCCTCTTGGTCTCCTGCCTCTACCGATTTAAGCATCCTTAGCTCAAATTCGTCGAGGGTTCGCTTCCTCTTCCTCGTTGACTGTTGCACAGATGTGGTCTTCACGGAAGGGATTTTTGCAGTTGGAGTTTGCGAAGTCTGCTTAGTTGCATCCGGAGTCGCCGTCCCTTGATCTTCTGCTGACTGGAGCTCTTCAGTTTGCTGCTGACTTTCTGCTTCATCTGAGTGCTCATAGGCCATGCTTGCATCAGTTGACCGGTGATATAAGCCTTGCTCTAGAAAATTTAGTTGTTCGTGATACAAATACTTTCGCAGTTTTGATGCAGCTGCTCCTGATTTTTTCGAGTTTTTGTCTCGATTCCTCCATTTAAGCCACTGGTCTCTGATATTATTCCACCTTTTAAGAACTAGTTGACCTGTAACAAAAAAAATATTCAACAATACTAGACTCGAATTATAGATTTTCAATTTATTGTTTATTTTTTTTACTTTCAGGTACCTGGCTAGTGGATGTAGCTTTACAGATCTGTATTATAGCTATCGATTGGGAATTTCTACAATTTCAAAAATTGTTCGAGAGGTCTGTGACATTCTTTGGTCGTGCTTAGCTGAAGAATGTATTCCGAAACTTACGAAAGAACGTTTTGAGTCAGTAGCTGCTGGATTCGAAAAACGAGCGAATTTTTTCCACTGCATTGGTGCTGTGGACGGGAAACACATTAGAATTGTAAAACCCGAGTTTAGTGGTTCCTTATACTATAATTATAAGTCCTATTTCTCAGTTGTGTTGATGGCAGTTGCTGACTCGAATTATCGGTTCATTTATGTTGATGAAGGTGCATATGGGAGTGAGTGTGATTCAAGTATATTCAAAGAAAGTAGTTTGTGGAAGAGAATACAAAAAAAGTCCTTGGAATTGCCATCTGCAAAGCCTCTACCTGGTTCTGAAGCTCCAAACGTACCTTATTTTCTCATAGGAGATGAAGCTTTTGGATTAAATATTAATCTACTACGGTCTTTTGGAGGAAAGGAACTTTCACAGAAGAAAAGGATTTTCAATTATCGCCTCAGCCGAGCCAGGAGATATGTTGAGTGTTCCTTTGGTATACTGACAAACAAATGGAGAATTCTTCATCGATCTTTGAATGTTAATACAGATTTTGCCGTTAGTATTGTGAAAGCTTGTGTAGTGCTTCACAATTTCGTGAGACAAAGAGATGGCTATAACTTCGAGGATACCATGACAGTTGTGGGTATGAATGATTTGCCAGCACAAGCAAATATGCAAGGTGAAAGGGCAGCTAATAATATCAGAAATGTTCTAAGTGACTATTTTCTAACTGAAGTAGGCAAAGTATCATGGCAGTTGTCGAAAATTTAGGAATCTTGTTTTATTTATTATATAATTATACTATTACCCAACCATAACATATGTTTAGTTCAATGTTCACAAGAAATAAGAGGCAAATAATAAAATAACTTTAAACTTACCAAATTCTTTTCTTTCCCCGTCACTCAAATTTTCAAAATGTTCCTTCAACTGGGCACAAATACTTCTCCACGCTTCTGTTTTTTTGTTGCGATTTTTGTAATCCTCGGCAGCTTTGTCCCAGATTTCTGGTTTATCCTGAACTAAACTAATCAGGATTTCAGAATCTATTTGTTCTACTTCTTTCGACATGATCAAATGCTCGTAGCTACACTGCAGAGTACACACGGTCTTCGTTCGACAACGGACTACACGCTACTGGACTGCAAACAAGTATAAACCAATCGGACGATTAAACACCCGGATCATGTGAATGCATTCATGGCACACTGTAGTCCGCTAGGGCATATTCCGGGCGATTACCCGTTCGAGCTCCGTGAGTCCTAGCGGGGACATCCGGGCGTTTTGTATGCCCGGACGGGGATTCACCCGTGTCCGGGAAGTGTGAAAGAACCTATGCTAAACTGTGTATTACTATTTGTCCGGTTGACGGGCGATCACACGGACGGATAAACCCCCTGACCATGTGAAAGAGCGCTAAGTTGTGTGTAAAAACAGTGAAATGTACACACAAATGTCCAGTTATCTTTTTGTATTGCTTATAGAGGCACTGGTGTTGAGTTAATTCAAAGTCAATTTTATTTTTCACACAGGTATTCGGTTGGAATGTACATACCATTGATTTAAAGGCCAACTATTTTCCACAATTTTGGTGGCAGGATTTTTGTTTGTTAGATTATTACTTCCTAATGATAGGTTTTAATTGGAGTCATGATAGAGTTTGAGCATTTGTCGCTATTTTTAAAAAGGCATTTGATCTAAAATCTCGAATATCATCGTTCCTGTGTAAATAAGTATTATAATAGATTTATCTATTTCGGGCTTTTGTGCCCTTAGTAATACAACCTGATTTCAGGATGATTTACTTTATTCTATCTAAAAATGTACGCTGATAGGTACTGCAAGGTACCTCGGTCATTCCTCTGCCTAGCGCAGCATTTCCGGTGAATTATATTACTTGCAATACCTAACAAGTTTCTTCTAACAATATATTATACAGTATGATCTTACCATACTACACCTCCCCCGATATTCAAAAGAATTTTCTTTCTAATGAAATAACTTCAGTCAATAGCAATCTCTTGGGGTATACCGTATCTTAAAATGATTTTTTCAACAAAGCATCTTGCTACTGTTATTGCATCTTTATATTTTATTTTATATGCTTCGACAAAATTAAATAACTCACACTGTAGGGTCAATATATAAGAAAAGCTATACGAGTGTGTTGGTAGTGGACCAACTAGATCTAAGTTTAACTTCTGAAATGCATAGCTCCCTGTAGAAGTGATTACCATGGGTTCCTTAACGTGGTGATTTGAGTCTCGCGCCAATGTCGATCGAGGATTTCGATTCACATACAGAGTATCATGCGAAGGTACGTAATATAAATCTCCCGACTATAATTTAATACTTTGTTTATATCTCTTAATTTCTTTCAACGTCGTAAAAATTGGTTCTGTGCTACCTTTAGGTTTTTTGAGAATTTTTACTATACTATCAGGTTGATCAGACCCAATATTTGTAGTATCCCCGCTTCGATTTTGTACGATACGTAAACATTTAAAAATTAAAAATGTTCACTGCTATTAACGAGTCCAAAATCATTGGAAGAACTTAGAAAATCAACATTTTCAACTTGACCCACATTTTCCTTTGTGGCATTAGCATTTTGTGTACTTGATCTAGGGTTTCAGATTGCATCGGGACCGTCTGTGAATGAACTCGGAAATCGTTTTGTAACAAGACGTGTGTCTAAAGATTGATATAGTTTTTAAATCCATTTCTAGTGATGCATAACTTATAACAACAAATTACTGATTCCCTTTGTTAATTTTATTGTTCCTCTGTACTTCCCTCATCATGATCGTAGCTAGAAATTTCAATTGCGCATGTATTTCTGATGAAGCCATATCTACATTCTCCTTAGTTGTCAAAAAATCGAATATGCTGGTTAGGTGACGCTCAAAACTATACAGGGTGTTAATAAAGTATGTAGACAAACTTTACCTATCGAATCCTCCGTCAATTTGAAGACGAAATTTCCATATGAACATGGGTCCGCAGCGGCTTTGTTTTCAAGCTAAAAGGAAATAATGATATTGTTCTAAAAAATTATAAAAGAATGGAACGTATTTTATTCTAATTAAGTATGAACGGTGGTGAATATCACATGATTTTCAGTTGTTTTCAGACCCTCCATGTACTTAGATACGGAGAATGTTATCATCCAGTATTTTTTCAAAAAATAGCATGACATTGTTTTGACTATTGACCTTGTTCATGCAAGTTCCAAAACATACTTCATTATTTGAACTCAAAAGCCATACAAATTCAAACCCTTTGGCACTCGCATACAAGTCAAACATGCGCACAAGAAAACATGCGCACAAGAAAACGAAGATTTCGGGAAGTCAACACGTTAAGATAAAAAAAAGGCAACGGTAGTCTTTAAAAACTCGACAAATAATCTTGTTAAACCCGGTACAAAAGTCTTCTATTCGCTCAGGCAAGTGTGGTGAACCTAAGAAGATGCTGTGAAGAGAGAGGAGCTCCTCCAGACCAGGTGACAGGAACACCCAGGTACGTGCCAAACCTGCATTGTCTTTGTATGGCTCGGGTGTCGATTACTTTATTACCTTAATTATATCTGAACGCGCTTACAGTCCCGCGGCTCTCCACAATTTAGAAACATCTCTGCAAGAACAGACCTTCTAAATAATTTCTTTTCTAAAAATACAGGATAATACTACTTTCATCTACGTTCATATTGAGCCTCAGCAACTTGTAAAACATGCAAAATTTATCATAGGTTATACCAACTTCAATAAATACGTTTCATTATTCATAGAAATATTTGGAACATTACTCGTATTTCCTTAGTGATAGTGCTCTCGCTCGAAAAGAAAGCCGTTACGGACTCATGTTCATATGAACATTTAGTCTTCAAATTGACCAAAGATTCGATGGTTAAAGTTTGTCTACATACTTTATTAACACCCTGTATATCAACTTTTCAATATCAGATATTCCTAAATATGTCCCCAACTTTTAAGAATGAAACTAAGTTGAATCTACCTGTTTTTCGGGTTGGGCTGAACCAGTGGCGAATTTATAGGGAGGCCGCGCGCCCCCCCTAGACGTCCTACACTTGCTATTGTAATCTAACACCATTGTGTTACTTTCTGACACATCATGGCGATAGAGGCATACTAACTATAACTTATAGCTATAGGAACTGAGTATTGCGATTTTTTTGGTATCCTTTAGTATTCCAAATGCTGTCCCTCTTTGACATCACTTGTTTACAGCACAATTCTTACGATTTATACGTATATACGAATATTGTGACTTGTCACAAATTTGTCTGGGTAATATATTAGCTATACAGATTGCACTTAAAAAATGAATTATGTTCTGTTTGTTGGTCAATAGTTATGTGAAAAGTGTGTAAAAGCTTGAGTGATTTCTTTCGGGGTTGGTGTTGCAGCGAAGCACTATGTTAGATTAACGCCTAAATTGGAAATAGACATTAACGAGACTTGTTTAGCCTGTGGCCTGTCCGGAAACGGTGTCGATCGATGTTCAAAGTCAATACCACACGTCCCGCATCTCTTCTCGCTTATGTATCTATTTATGTTGCTATATTGAATTTGTTTTAAGTTACAGAACTGCTGCACTAACGAGAATATGTACAGTCCTGTATTCCTGTACTTGTTTCGTACAAACATACATTATCAAAATAATTACGATCTAACAGATACAGTTTTTTCCAAGGATTTACAACATTTTTACATTTTTACATGCGATCAACACCGGTTGGAAAACTGACAAAACAACAACTATGCCGTAAATCTAAGCTCGACAACGAAAGTGTGAAAAATAACTGTAACATCTATATTGAATTTCAAAAACCCCAACCCCTACTGAGCGGGGCCGTGGCAAATGCTTGTTCCGGAAGTTGTTGTATCCAGCATACAACTTCCTCCCGTTCAAGTGATTGTACACGCGTTAAGGAATACCTCAGTCCGCCAACGTGAAACTTTAGGTCTATTTAATATCATTAACAAGCAAAAAGAAGGTGGTAGACAAGGAACAGTCGACCGAGGTGGTACCAGCCGCTAGCTTTTCTCAGGGTGTCTTATAAATGTCCGCATGTTTCCACACCTAAGCTATGCAGTGGGTAAATCTTCCAAAACAAAGAAATTAATGATGATGGATCCCTCGAGAACTAAGAATTCTGGACGTAAACTCACTCCACTCTCGGAATGTTCAGGAGGAAAAGACATCGAAGATAAAATTTGTTTCAGGAACGTCTGTGGGATTAACAGCAACATTGATGCTGTTCATCACTACTTGCAATCCAATCGTCCCGCCATGCTTTTCTTGGCGGAGACAAAAATTTTAGAGTCCGCAGCGATTAACCACCTTAGCTTACGAGGTTCACTCCAATCTGAGAAAGAATGGGAAAGAGCCTCTGTCGACAGCAGTCTTTGCTGCTGCAGAGATGTTTCTCTGGAATCAGAAAGGAAGGACATTATGTGGCTTCGCCTCAACTCCAAAACATCCCCCAAATTTATTTGCTGCCTTTATCGCTCTCCCTCGAACCATAACTGGGATGACCTTCTTGAGTACCTCGCCGTCAAGATCGACTTCCTGAACATCAATCACCCCGCTTCAGAGCTAGTTCTCCTCGGTGATTTCAATTACCATAATTTGCTTTGGTTGGGCTCAAATAAGACCGATGCAGCAGGTCGTGCAGTTGAAGCGTTCGCTCTTACTCAAGGGCTGACCCAGCTGATGAAGGGTCCTACTTTTTTTCCCCTCGTCTCGTCACATGCCAGTAGCCTGCTGGATCTCTTTCTGACCACGCATCCTGTCCCTTACAGCACTGCTGTCCTGTCCCCCCCCTTAGTAACTCATTCCAACTGTGAGGTGGAGGTTAGGTTTCGGTCCGAACCCGCTGTGGCAGCAGAAACTCGCACAGGCCGCAAAATTTGGCATTACGGACATGCCGACTGGGAGGGGCTCAGAGACTTCTTCTCTACTTTTCCTTGTCTGCTTCACTAACGCGGATGCGTCGGCTATCTGTTTTTCGATAACCGAAATTATCCGCGTCGGAATGGAGGAATATATCCCTCATACAGTGAAAGTGCCTAAACCAGGGTTCAACGGCTGGTTTAACAAATCGTTGGACACTGCTCGCCAGCAGAAGATCAAGGCACACAGAATCTTCTTACAAAACCGCACTGTAGAGAACACACAAGCCGACTTCGAGTCCAGAAACAAATATAACAAAGCGCTTCGCAATGCCAAAAACCAGCAAGATATAAGAGTTAGGCACAGGATAATGTCACAGCCCAATGGCAGTCGGTCTTTCTGGACGCTGGCCAAGCAGATTGAAAAGAACTTCTCACACAGAAGC